GGATGAAATTTCAGTTTGTCTTTTGTCATAAAAAGTTTTGAATTAAAATGCAGCGAGTGGTGATCACCGGCAAAATCGTACATTCTGTGAAATGTAAAAAAATAGCTGCAGGTTTATAGCTGTCGTTTCATTGCCACAGCTGGTTTTAGTGCTATTTTTTTTAACAGTCATAAGTCCAGGCCTTTTTTTTCTTTGAAGTTCATGGCCCTGTAATGACAGGGTTGTTTCGGTAGCCGTTATCAGTTCAAGCCATCGACAAACTGCTTAAAAAGAGGTGTTCTATTGTGACACTAGTAAAGACCCCAGCGGCTTGGGAATCTTCATGGTAGTGGTAAAGATCACAAAGATTACACCAAGAAAATGCGAAATAGAGATTCACAGGAGAGCTGAGAGTCCAGTGAAATACATGTGAAGTGTTATTCATTTGCTAATTTAGTAAAAAGTGGCGCAGATTTAAAAGGAAACGATGCGCTCAAGACCGAACCGGCTGGTGAGTCCGACTTGGAGAAAGCAATGCTGGCCACTCTGAGGTCGCTCGAACAACCCGCCGTAAGTAATCTGCTCATTCCTCCTTGTTTATTACTTAGCTTTCTTCGATACTTTTCGAGATCGCTGCACAGCAATCAACTTACAGGGCGCAACCAAAGCCACTGAAGGTGCGCCGACGACCGATGAGGACAAAGATTTGAAACAAAAGCAGAGCGACAAGTTTCGCGAACTACTGCGCGACAAAGTAAGTCAACCTTCAAAGAGAGAAAAAAGAAAACATGTATGAAGAAAAATAAGAAGTGTGTTTAAATTTTGATGTGAAAAGCTTTCCTCTACAAACAGTGAGGTACTTTACCGTAGCCCATATGGTTTGAAACAAGATGGTGATGCCCAGCACGCACCAGAGACATCTCGAAATAGCTAAAGCCTTGGTACGTACTTTTGCCAGGAGAATCGTTGACCGATAGTTCGATAATTCCTTCAGAAAACGATATGAATTTCAGGAGTGCTAGCGCATTAGTCATTAGATTGGTCACAGCAACTGGAAAAGTGGCCAGCTGCATAAATGGAACACAGCTGAACAAAATATAAGGACTGATTCGCTCCTGTGTTTACTTTACAGATCTTAGGTGTTGTTGCATACTAGACGTATAATAGTAATAAAAGATTTGAATCCACAAATAATTGCAGCGGTCTTACTACAACCCGTGAATTTGTTTCGTTGATTTACTGTCAGATGCCGGTGAATCGAAAAAATCTCCAGCTTGCATCTAAGCGACTCCTAGAAGAAAAAATGGAAATTGCTAACTGATAATCTTGCATCTGCCGTCGCATGCCTTCATTAATTACGAAGCACAAGCAGATAATTTTGGGGAGGGAATGCCAATTTTTAAATTGGCTGTAGTTATACATCATGCACATATATCCTGGTCTTTTTTTTCAGTATAATGAAGGGAAGATCTCATCGACAAGCTCATGGGAAAACGCGATGAGGTACATTCAGGCTGATCCGCGATTTCGAGTTTTGAATAAAGTCAGCGAGAAGAAGCAGTTGTTCAATGCATGGAAAGTGCAGAGACAGAAAGAAGAACGAGTAAGAGATTTTTTTAAACATAAAACTTGAGCTAAAAAAACTCACGAAAAAGTCAGTAAAACACAAATGCTTTTTAGGGGGCATTTCATGCGTCTTTGCATATATACAAATGCAAAGACGCATATTTTGACGACCCAAGTTGTGTGTATGTTTGCGTGTATGAGTGTGCGTTTGTCTGTGTCCGGATATTTCAACTCAGCAACCAAGCAAGTTCCGGCACTGAAATTTTTCCAGTTTGTTCCTTGGCCAAGTGCCACCCGAGGACCCCAGCGCCAACCCTCATACATGTCTGGGCCGCGTGTGCGAACACGTGGATGTTTTGGCAGGAAAATCGCTAACTCTGGAACCAGAAAAGTTAGGGGAATGAAATTTTAAGAAAGATTTTTCCAGCTCCACGAACAACTTAAAGATTTCGAATTCAGCCGCCAGGTGTGCGAGATTTTAACACACGGGCCGTGAGAATTTTTGGCGGGAAAATTGGTAACTCGAAAACCAGAAAAACTAAAAGGCTGAAATTTTGAGGGATGTTTCCGTCCACGTGGACCTTGAAGAATTTAAAGATTCAAATCCAGCCTCCAGGTATGAGTAGTTCTCGCGTACGGGCGCTCAAAAGTTCTGGTGGGAAAATCACACACTGGTCAAGTAGTTCATTTTCAAAAGCCGACCGTTAAGCGGAATTTATTCATTTTCCTTTATGGAAAATTTACAATGATTTACGCTAGTGAACGCACAAGATAAATGCGGGGCAAGAACAGTTCATACAGTTAACGACCTGATTGCTTAAAATGTAACACAAAAACGCATCGCACCAACAGCCTAGTGCGTTCGAAATTAAGCTTAAAACATACTAGTTAAGTTAAATGGCACAGGGAATTGCAAGAAATTTTAAAATTATTTCTGGAATTTTAATTCTCGTTGTAGGCGTCACCATAAAAGTTAAAAGCCATGCAAGAGCTATTTTTAGCCTCCTTTATCACGGGTAAGGCTTTGGAAATAGCCGGAAATGTCAAGACAAATAGATTGTTAAGGAAATTCTAAAAAATTTTATCAGTTTAATTTCAAAGCGTTGCCAGCGAATGATTTCTTTCAATATTTGCTACCATACAGGCTACTCAAGAGAGTGCCTCCGCTTCTCCAAAAATGCATAAGAGGGACAGGGGAGGTTTGCCTTCTGAACTGCAAAATGTGTTCGAGCAAGTCTAAAACTTAGTGGCACGCAGCACTACATGCTGAAGGTTACGGCTTCGATTTCACTTGTAGGACGATCTGTATGTCTTTGACTGTACATTCATTTCGATGATAAACTGGTACTGGCAAATGCCACCAATTTGCTTTTAAGCAATATTTAAAAGAAGGAACCTTAAACAGCTTGGCCAGGGAGCGATTGCTGTTGGCACGTGCTACCATACTGATATTTTTTGGTACCTTCACCTCCCGCAGAAGGATAAGTCTAGTAGTTTTTGGATTTCTCATTTCCCGTGACTGCTAGTATTTCGGTAACATCGAAATGTACTGCTCGGCGCACAAGCTAGACCAACAAAAAACTGCTTTTCAAGCCGATTGCGGGAGCTCTCTTCTTATTGGCAAAGTTTCACGTTTTCACAAATTGGTACTTCAGATGATACAGTTGCATAAAAGCATTTGATGCATGATGCAGCATTAGGTGGATTTACCTTCTGGCCAAGCAACAACAGAGCGAGGGAGGGAGGGGGAATAAAATGGGTTTACTGGTGGGATGGAGAACGGAGCGAAAGGGAAATGAACAGTGGGTCTCCTGGAAGGGGAGCAACCAAGGGGTGGGTAGCACAGTTTTCTTCACATTTAGCATTAGACTCACACTCTTATGTCACTGGTGCCTGTGCCGCTGAGGAGGGAGGGGGGAAGGGGAGTAGGGAAGGAGGAGATAAAAGCCCATCTCCTCCTCTCCCTAGATCCGCCAGTGGATGTGACGAAAAGCAAGCTGATGGCGGTGGTAATTTCCTCATTGAGCAGTAGAGGGCTGTTGTTTTTGCTGCTGCTTGAGTTTCTCACTGAATGCGATCATTGTCTTGGCGTAGATCTCATCTTCGCTTAGTTCAGGGCACATTTCTTCATTGGCCATGTAAAGATCCGTGAACATTCGCGACAGCGATTCCGATTCTTCATTGCTGATGTTCATGGCACCCAACGAAGGGAACTGCTTGTAGAAACGCCTAAAAAATAAACTATCTTAAGAAGGCCTGCCTCCTCCGCTTATTTTCACTGCTTTTTCCCATGAAAAATGGCAGTAGCTTACGCCCTTGGGATGTCTTCCTTGTAGAAGAGCTGTCGAATGGGGACCTTCTGCTTGGGGTACGGCGCCACTGCTGTTGGCTCATACATTGGCGGATTCGCGGCGTACACGTCATACCACAGAGGCCGGTCTTTCCATTTCATTTGCCCGGAACGCAATAAACCAGTTATCCTGAATTGCTCTGTGAAAAGTTAGAAAGCTTATCAGTGTAAGATATTTTTCTTTTTCAGCGTAATGCATAATAAACCTAGAAAAATAGCTGATAAAAAACCGTAAAGGAAGGGACAAGGGGAGGACTGCAGCATCATCGAAGGGCAATTGCTAAAACTTGATTTCACTTGTTGGGAGATGTTGCAGCGTGTGGGACAGAACAAGAACGAGAGGTGTTGGTGTGGGTTTCAGGCACCTGTTACAGAGGAAAGGGGAGGGGGCGCTAACTGGAAAC